GTGTGTGTGTGTGTGTGTGTGTGTGTGCTGGCAGTGATGGTGGGTGGGTAGGTGAGTGTGTGTGTGTGCATGTTAGTGTGTGTGCGTGCACGTGTGTGTGTGTGTGTGTGTGAGCTGGCAGTGATGGTGGGTGGGTAGGTGAGTGTGTGTGTGTGCATGTTAGTGTGTGTGTGTGCATGTGTGTGTGTGTGTGTGTGCATGTGCTGGTGGTGGTGGTGGGTGGGTACGTGGTGGTGGGTGAGTAGGTGAGTGTGTGTGTGTGTGCGCCCGCGTGCGCGTGCACCTGTGTGCGCCTGTGTGTGGTGGTGGGTTACTTTGGTTTTGGTGTTCCGTTTTGAGACAGGGTCTCAATGTGTGGCCCAGACTAACCTGAACCTCACATTCTAGCCCAGCCTGGCCTTGAACTCATGGCAATCCTTCTGCCTCAGCCTCCTAAGTACTAAGATTACAGACATGAATCACTGTGCCCAACTCTAAGCCTGCTGCACACGTAGAAATCAGAGGACAGCATAGGCAGTCAGTTGTCTCCTTCTGTCCAGTGGGTTCAGTGGTTTTGAAGTCAGGTCATCAAGCTTGGTGGCAAGATCCCTTACCTGCTGTTTTCTTCTGTTTTTAGTATTTTAAGTTAGAATACCAAGCACTGGGCTTCATCGTGGCATCTTCAACATCTGATTGATTACCTTACCACTTTGCTCTCCACCATCCCCTCCCCTCCTCTCCATGCTCACACACACACACTCCTCTCTTCCCTCGGGTCTCCCTGTCTGCTCTTCAGTTACATGTACTCCATCACCCCATCTACGCCCTCCTTTCCTTCTCATTCATAATCCTCTTTTGAATTCCATGATCTCCAAACACTCATGTAAATACACACACACTGCTCTATATAATTAGAGCGAAAACATTCACACTTGTCTCTCTGAGACTGGCTTATTTCACCTGACATAATTTCCAGTTCCGTCCATTTTCCTGCTGTTAGAAGGTACATACAGTTTCCATACTCACTCATCCGTTGACAGGCATCTAGACGGCTCCCACCTCCTGACCAAATGGACAGCTGCTGCAAACACGAACACGCAAGCACCCAGGAGAAATCAACCTAAGAGTCTTAAGTTATAAACCCAAAGAGTTGGGGCATATGATCATTCTAGCTTCCAGCTTTGAGGCCCCTTCATACGGATTGCCACAGTGGTTGCTCGACTTTACGTTCCTAGCAGCAGCAAGTAAGAGTTCCTCTTTCCCCGTATCCTTGCCAGCACGTGTGGTCTTTCATCTTCCTGATGACAGCCACCGTGCCTGGAATGAGCCGGGCACTCAGAGCACCTCTCTTTTGCAGATCCCTGGTGTCGACTCCGCTTCTCGACAACACAATTTATATTATTCGAGCTCTTCTCTGCACTTCTCAGCATGTTGCAGAGTTCCTTCTACAGGCTTTTAGTGACCATGTGACAGATGAATGGGAAGAAGGAACTCCAAGACTTGGGGACTAGTCAAACTGGACAACCACAGACTCAGAGCTGGGAACTCAGTGCTGTGGCTCGGCCAGTTCCTTTGATCTATTTGAGATGTGGTGGCTCAAGCCTATAATCTCAGTAGGTGGAGGTTGAGATAGGAGTATCGGAGTACACTTGAGGGCAACCTGAGCTACATACTGATTTTGAGGCCAGCCTGGACTACAGAACAAGAGTTTATCTCAAAAAGAAAAAAAAAAAGACATCTAAAGCCATTAGAACATGATCTTCCAGGGATGGTTGTGCCTAGCCTTTCCTCTTTCCCTCTGTCTCTTTGCTTTCACGAGCTGAGCAGCTTCTCCTGCCGCTGCTTCCATGGCTTGCTGCCTCAACAGCACAAGAACAAAGGGGCCAAAATAGCATGAACTCAGACCTCTGAATCCACAGCCGAAACCCAGTTTTTGTCTTCTTGGTTAATGCATTTAATTACACTAACAGAAAGTTGTCTAACCTGCATCCTCCAAACTAGCAGTTCTTTTATTAGTTTATTTGCATGTTTGTGATTATTTGATTGCTCGCAGCTCCCCGTGGGTTAGGATTGCATCCTTATTTATGCTGATATTCCTTCGCAGTGTCCAGCTCTGGGCCACACACATGGATGGTGCTCCCTAAACCGACTTCATAAATGAAGGAGTCCATTTGCTTTACACACGCATGTGCATTCGGCCTCTTAGCTTAGACTCTTGTGTAGTTCATTGAGGGGGTGGATGCTTGGCACGAAGACCGCTGTAAAATCTCCTGTTTGCTTTTTCGGGCTTCTTACAATGGTAGTGCAAGGTTTGCCAACAAGCGGGGGGAAAACTTCAGAACGGTAAGTGGAGCACCCTCACTTTCTGGACCTGGTAAAGGTTTGGCGAGCAAGACACAGCCAAAATAAAATTCTTCAAACTATACTCTAGGAGAGAGTCGACCATGTCTTTTCAAGAAACTGCCCAGCCAGGGGAGAGAACTGGCGTCACTGTGGTGTCAGACATGCTGGCAACTTCTCGGAGTCCGGAGAAGGCAGAGACCACAGAAAGAAAGACAAAATGGGTGATGTTATATCAAAATGAAGGCAAAGCCACTCTGCACTGGGCTTGTCTAGGCAAACAACTGGATTTTTCAAGCAATCACACATAGAGTTTTGTTTGGTCCTGATTTATTGTCTTGTTTCTAGAGTGAGGTCTCACCCTTCTACAGGCGAGCCTCAAACTCATGGTGGGTTTCCTGCCTCTGCCTCCCACGTGCTGGGATTGCAGGTCAAGGCATCACATCAATCTCGAAGACGTTTTCTGACTTGGTCTTCCGCAAAGCTGCAAAGAGAGTTAAGGCAAGCTGAGGGGCTAGCTCCGCTGGTCCAGCATCCGTATCACACATATATAACCCTGGGTTCAACCCCCAGAAGCTCACAACCCAGGCATGATTCTACATGTCTGTAATCATAGCACTCAAGGGTTAGAAGCAAAGAGATCCTTAGAATAGTTTGAGACTTGCCTGTCTCAAAAAACCTAGAGCATGACACATGGTTTAAATCAAGGACTTGGGAGGCTAAGTAAGAAGGGTGTCAACCTAGTCTATACAGTGAGACCCGGAGAAGAGGAGGAGGAGGAAAAGGAGGAAGTGGAAGCGAAAACATGCTGCAGTCCTAAGAGCCAGCAGGTCGTCCACTCTTTTCATTTCTTACCCTGAGAAGTAAGGGGCCAGCAAGATCAATGGTCAAGAACGCATCTATTCATCCACACCAGTCTGGAGCCTTAGGCTTGCTCCATCTCCCTCTTTCTCGGTACCAGCTGATCAGAGGACTGACCCAAGCTCATGTGTAGCAGCCAAGTCCAGACCAGAGCCCAGGCCTTCCCGCTCACCGGTCAGGCCCCAGCCCGGCATGTATCAGCTCTGCGGTGAGACAAGAGCAAACATTAAGCTTCTCCCTGCTGCCCAGGACATCCAGCAGCTGGGTGACTGGAGCTTCGTTTTCAGGTCAGTGGTTTCTGCCCCCTGTACGTTGGTCCATGGTCTATTATCTCTTTGTGGTTTTGCTATCCCCATAGGCATTCCCGAGACATCTGCAAATAAGCGACTGGTCTCCTCCTGGTGCTAGTTTTTTATTTTATCTGAGCTGGTTTTCCAGCAACCTAATGCAAGCATGGCACAGCTATCTTAAATTCCAAGAGCATTTTGGCTGGTCCTTGAGCTCCTTGAAGGCAGGAAGTACATCTGATTCATGTGGGAAACCCCAGTACCTAAGCTAGTGTTTGGCTCACAGTCGGTCAGCAAAATGAGAGACTGAAGTCACACAGAAAGCTGGGCTTGGTAGCCTACACTTATGATCCCAGCACTCAGGAGGTAGAGGATCAAGAGTTCAAGGCCAGGCTGGGCTCTATGAGACTTGAAATTAAAACACAAAAGGCAAAACGAGATCAACCACACAGTAGATATTGAAGCCAAAAATAGATGGGTTAAAACCATTAGGTGGGTCTTGCAACATCACCTCGTCTATAAGGTGACTCAATATTCCTTCCTGTAGAATAACACCAAAGGCCGGGGGCCTCATTCAGTAATATTGCACTAACCTAGGAAACATGAGACCCTAGGTTCAATTCCTAGCACTACAAGAACATAAAATTAAGGCTTTGCGTTGTAGCTTAGTTGGTAGAATACTTGCCCAGTATGTACAAGGCCCTGAGTTCTATTCCCAGCACCGCATAAATGAGCTATAGATGGTGCACACCTGTACACTCCCAGTGCTCAGGAGGTAGAGGAAAGAAAATCAGAATTTCAAGGTAACCCTGGGCTACATATTGAGTTCAAGGCCAGCTTGGGCTATGTGAGACCCTGCCTCAAAAAGTAAAATCATAATGATAATAACAATGATAATAAAGTGAAATAAAATAATACAAACATCTCTACTTCCTAGCATTGCTGTGAGGATAAGGCCCGGATGTCACATAGGGAGCACAGGACATACAGACACGCCATCAGTTGTAGCTGGGGAAGAGCCACCACCTCGATGTTTAAGGCAGAAAAGGGGGAAGTCAAATTTAAATGAGCTCTTTCCTAGGAGACAAGAAATCAACGGGAACAATGGATGTGATCACCCAGCGTTCAGTGTTTCCTTGGCTATTTATTGTCAGAGCTAGGAGCCCGTGTAGCGCTGGCCCCGTCTCATCCCCAGCTTCTGCTTCATCCCGCAGTGAAGTCATCGCGCTGGGCTTGCTCGTCTGTCTGTTGACACTGTCCGCCTGTGAGTCACAGATTCAACAGGATGACTTGCTGCAGTGTGATTGACTGGAAAATGTTCCCTCATCTCAGTTTTTTTTTTTCCTTTTTTTCTTTTACAAGCTAAGAAACGCGCCTAATTTTGCAGCACAGAGTGTGAGCTTTTTATTTATGTGACTGTCTTTTCAACAGGGTGGCGGAGGAAGGGTCCCCCGTGTTCGTGTTTTGCTTTATGGAGTGACATTCTCTCCCTGCCTCTCCTTCTCCTCTTCCTGCTAACTATTATATCTAAAGCAAACAGTTCCAGGACAATGGTTAGATTGCACTTGAATTTGATGTTTACTTGACATTTACACCCTGGCCATGCTGGACAGCTCAGACATTCCAGAGCAGGGGCTCAGCCAGCAAAGAACTGTGTTCAGCTGCAGTCCTCTCCTGAATAACCAAGATCCTGAGTCAATGGGACATAGCTGTGACATGTGGCTTAGGCTGATTCTTGTGGTTGAACTAGGGTATTGGTGGGAGGGGGATCATCCAGATGTCTCTGGTAATCCCGGGAAATCTCTCCCTTACCTGTGGAGTGGAGACTAGTCAGACCCATGAGACTTGTCCTGCCCGCCTGGACTCCCGCCTGCTACACTTGTGGGGGTGCAAGCCTCCCATGATGGATTTATCTCAAGACAGGCTGGAAATGACTGATATTTCATTTCCAGCTTCCCCACTTCTTCAGCAAACTTGGATAATATCCACTGTGCGGGGTTGTTGTGGGTATGAGGTATGCCAACTTCCTAGGCAGATCCAGGCTCTGAGAAGGCCCCAGGGAGGGCTTGCTTGCCTGGGTGTATGCCGAGATGGGTGGGAAGAGGGCTCCCAGAAGCACATGCCACAGGCTTCCTTCGTCACTGCTGTCTGATGCCTGAGCTTCGACAAGCGTCCAGACACCTGCCTTCTCGTGCCAGTCTTGCCAGCAAAGAGCAAGTACCCTCTGCTCACCAGGCCCCTGATTCTGCTTGTGTGGGCTAGGGCAGGGCTACTCCATGTCCATTCTAGCTTGGTACACTTTTCATCTTTCCAGAGCTGAGGAGAAGTCCAAGCTTCCTGCCATAAAGGTCTGAGTAACCCAGATGGTTACCCGTGCAGATACTAGTAGATTGGTGCTGCTGTGACCACACTGCCAGGCCGACATAATGTAAGGAAGGAAAGGTTTATTGGGGATCACAGTTTCAGAGATTTCTGTCCTCCACAGTGGGGAGGGTGAGGCGGCAGCCCAGTCCAGGGTTCGAGGAGCCTGTGCTGATGGCTATTCACACGGCCATGGTCTGGCAGGGGCTCAAACCAGAGGACAGTGCAATGTACACAGGCCCACCCCTAACGACCTATTTCTACCAGCCAGGCTCTGCCTCCCAAAGGCTCCAGTGCCTCCAAAACCAGGTCCTAAGTTGGGAACCAAGGACTCAAAATTTTGACCTATTGCTTAGCATTCAGATTTAAACCATAATATAGAGTGAGATCGTAACATGTGCCCTAGGCAGCATGCAGAGAAGCTCATAGGTGGGGTGGGGGCAAGTAGCTCACATGGGTGGGTGGTAGATCCCTGGTCAGAAGGGGGGGACTCAGGAGGGAGGGAGAGAGAAAGGGAGGGAGGGAAAGAGAGAAGAAAAGCCAGATCCAGGCGTGGTGGTGCGTGCATTTGGTGCCAATCATCTCAGCATCTGGTAGGCGCTGGCAGGAGAGCTCCTGCAAGTTCAAAGCCATCTTGGGGTACATAGTAAGACCCTGTCTCAAAACTAAAAGAAAAACAAAGACGAGAGCCAGATATGGTGACACCCATGCCTGTGATGTCATCACTATAATCCCCGCACTCAGAAGGGTGAGACAAAAGATCTTGACTTTAAGACCAGCCTGGGCTACATACTGAGTTTCAGGCCAGCCTGGGCTATGTAGGAATATCACTTCAAAAAAAATTAAAAATTTCCATAACATACTAATATACGAACTCTGAAATTTTACATAGAAAGCCATTCATTGAGGCCATATCTGGATAGGTGGTAGGCTGGAATTTTTTAATTAAAACACACATTGATTGTTTCTTTAAGAAACAAAAATAAGCAGGCATTATTTTTTCAAGTGAGACCAAATAAATATTACCCTTAAATACTAAAAGCAGCAAAGGACTTTTGCTAAGCATGGTATAATGCATAAATGTTCTCTGACATTCTGGATCTCTTTTGAACTGACTAGGTGGAATTAAAGGGCAAGACCAGCCAGAATAAGAGGGCGCTATACCAATGGAGGAATGGATGAATGGGCAGAGACTCAATCAGGAAAAACTGAAAATAAAGAAACCGAGTCAAGGAGCCCTGAAGGCTTGTGAAGTCCAGTCATAAGCAACTTGGAAAGTGAGGAGTGGGTGCTGGATGAGAACAAAACTATGGATTGAAAAACCCATATAAAGGGGCAAGGGGTGCAGCTCAGTGGTAGAGTCCTTGCCTAGCATGTGGGAGGGCCTGGGTTCAACTCCAGCACCGAAAGAAAAAACAAAATGAAAACCTATGTAAAGTCAAATTGTCCAGGCTGGCAGCTACTTGAGAATTTCAAATTGGAAGATAAAATGTTCAAAGCCTGCCAGGGCAGCAGAATGAGTTCAGTGCCAGCCTGGGTGATTCAGTGAGATCCTCACTCAGAATATATTTAGGACCAGGCGCGGTGGTGTACATCAGGGCTCTCAGCCCCTGGGAGGGAAGCAGGAAGATCAGGAGTTCAAAGTCATCCTTAGATACCTGCTAGACGAGTGCTCTACCAACTGAGCCGTAGCCCCAACTCTCCCTCCCTCGGGTCTGTTCACCTGCAGCTTAGGGGGCATCCACTTGTTATACAGCAGAAGACCCCGAACTCCTAACCTCCTGCCTCCACCTCTGGAATTCTGGGATTTCGGAAGCATACCAACATGCCTAGCAAGCTCTTAGTTTGTGTAGCTCGATGTCACTATCTTCTGGATTTAACAAAAACAAAAAACAAAAACACAAGCCTTCACCAGTTATGATCCCAACCCATTTAGTGTGAGTCTCAATATGTGTGTGTTGTGTTTGTACGTGTGCATGTGTGCGCATATGTGTCGTGTTTGTGCACGTGTGTGTTTGTGTGTATGCATGCAACTTGCAACTGGCCCCAGCTAAAAAAGCATCTCTGAAATTTAGGTGAACCTGGTCCTAGACTCCAGCATCGCCTGCAATACCACTCACTGGAGAACCACAACCGGGAAACAGTGCATTCCAATCTCTGAACCAAAACAGTGCATCATGGCCCAGCATGGTTGGGTACTGCAGAAGTAATTATGTGAAGTCTCATGGATTGAGGGGCAAAAGTAATATTAATGGCACTTTTCGTGTCTAACATTTCACCTAATATTCACAGCAGCCTGTGAAGCAGATAGACTCATGACCCATCTCACAGTTAAATGCACTGCAACCTAAGTGGTCAGTGTGCCAGAGGTTACCAAGGTCTTAGGCTGAATCCTTGGGTGGCTTCATTCATGAATTTCCCCGGAAGTCTTGGCAGCCTTTGCTTTTCTACCATTCTCCCATCTTCCACGGACCAGTGACTTCTGCCAAGCCCCACCCCCACCCCACCCCGCTTAAAGGAGTTACAGCAAAATGGTTCAAAGAACCAAACTCGAGATATGATAGTCTGTACTTGGATAAATCAATGGCACTGTTTTGTCTTGAAAGGCGCGCAAATGAGTCTCTGTCCTAACAGAACCCTGAGCTTGCTGAATGAAGCATCTGAACGTTGATTTCAACGTTTCCCACAACACTTGGCGCTGAGAACCCTGTTGGTTAAATTTAGCAGCCAGAAAAATGCATCAGTGACTGGCTCTACAGAGTGAGTTCACTCTGAATGGAGTCCCTCCTTGACGGTCTACCATGATGTCGGGGGCTTTCTCTTTGCAGACGATGCTGGTCTTTCCTGATAGACACAAATGAAAAGCAAGTGTCTGGAGTGGCTCATGTGCATCAAATGCAATACAAGACATGCAGACCCCTGCTACAGAGCTCTCCTGGCCTCGTTTCCCTTCTGAACGCTGGCTCTAGCCATCTTTACAGCCCTCTTCCCACAAGTCAGGACGTTAGGACTGATTAACAAACACAATGTGAAAGAAAAGAACAACCAGGGCAATCAAATGCATTGTTAATTTTTTGAAGAAAAAAATCATTTCCCTGGCTCAAAGGACCGAAAGTCATATTGGCAAAAATAACCTATCCTCTGGCCCACAGACTGAGAAGAAAATTAAACACAGAACGGCTTGGTTCTTGTTTGCATTTCTCAGGGTGTGAAGCATTCATTTTCAACTCATTCCTAAATCCTACACTTTGCCTAATGAAAAAGGAAAATATATCCAATATGATTGACAACCGGAAACGGTGCTTTCCTCTGAAAGGTGAGTGCCCCCAGCAGAAAATCCAGGCACCCAAGGCTCTCAGCTGTACACGGTAGAGTCTTGGACAACAGGTCAGCTCTCCTTTGGAGCAGAGTCTTCCCTATGCCCAGAAGAAGTAAAACTTGGTGGAAGGGGGCAGGCAGAAAATTCCAATTTTCATTTTAATCTTCTTAGGCCCTGAAACACACACATGCACACACACACACAAGCACACACACGAGCACGTGTGTGTGCACGCACATGTGTGTGGCCATGTCCAACTCATTTTTTTTCCTTTAGTCATTTTGCTTCCTGGAAACAGTCTCCTGTCACTCAGGATAGCTTTGCGTTCCTGACCCTCCTGCCTCCACTAAAGGTTGGGATTACAGGCTTTGTCCCACCTCACCTGTTCAGCTCATCAACTTTTAAATGTTACAAATGAATATTGTATCCAGTGAGACTCTTCTTGTGTGCGTAAAAAAAAAATCATATGGTTAATGATGGCTTATAATAGCCCCTAATTTCTTTTTTAAAAGTTATCATTTTAATATATTACTCTTAAAAGATAATTTCGTCTGTGTTGACAGAATGAGACACCTAGTCAGGCACGTTAGAGCAAACTTTTCTCCATCAGCACTGGGAAGAGAGGCAGAAAAACTATAGTTAAGTTTGGGGCCGGCCTGGTGACCTACTGAAATCCAGGCCAGCCAGGACTACATAGTGAGACCCTATCTCAAAGACCAAAATAAGAAAAAAGAGAAAGAAAGAAAGAAAGAAAGAAAGAAAGAAAGAAAGAAAGAAAGAAAGAAAGAGAAGAAAGAAAAAAACAGAACATTGTGCCTCAGCCTGTGATCTCCACACTGTCATCCAGGTTGAAGCAGGAGGATTGCCATGAGTTCAAGGGCAGCCTGGGCTCCAGAGTGAGAACTTGTATCAAGAACAACACAAAACATCAGAAGTCTTTAAAATAATTGATAATCTCATTAATTTTAAATTTCCTCTGTAAATCACCTAAAGGATGTATTGGGCCATGTGTGCATGTTTGTGTGTATATGTGCGTGCATGTGTGCACATGTGTGTGTTGTGTGTATGTGCATGTGTGTATGGTGTATGTGTGTGCATGTGTGTGCATGTGTGTTGTGTGTGTGTGCATATGTGTTGTGTTTGTGCACATGTGTGTTGTGTGTGCGCATGTGTGTGTGTTGTGTTTGTGCACGTGTGTTGTGTGTGTGTGTATGCAACTTAAGTGATCAAACCTAAGAGTTCATGAAAGAGATTTTAATTAAATTTCTGAGAATTGATTTTTAAATGTCTGTGATTCATTTTCTGCTCTAAAAACTTCAATACCCCAAGTTCTGGGTTTTGAAAGGCAATGAATTTGGCTGCAGAAGAGAGTTGACTCCATTTGGTTTTGGTTTGGGTTTTGGTTATTTTTGTTTGTGTTTTCAAGTTTGCTTTAGTACAGTGGCTGAGCCTGGGCTGCTCACTAGCTTTGTCCAGTTCCTCTAGTACAATGGCTAGGCCCGGGCCACTCGCTGGCTTTGGGAAAACAAAGTCAAGGATTTTAACCCTTTTTTCAATCATAGAGCTTTTGCAAAAGGAAAATGAAGAGGGTGGAGAAATAAGAAGAAAGAAAATTAAGTCCCACCCTGATGAACTTGAGAGAATGCTATGAATAAGGCGAGAACTGGAGACCAGTGACGCTCAGAGAGCAAGGAGCTTGCTGCCAAGTCAGGCACCCTGAGTTCAATCCCAGAGACTGAACACTAGGTGCCAGAAGGAAAGACCCAACACTGGAAAGGTTTCCTCTGACTTCTATAAGTGTACCACACAAAATCAATCAATCAATCAACAACTAAGAATGGATAAATAATATGGAAAATGATGAAATAATAACCATTTCGACTGTAATTAGAACCCAGCACAGAAGATATTCCAGACAGGAAAAACAGCTGATAAAAACAGACATCACAGATGCATGGGTTGAGAGTTGAGACCTAAGAATCTTCAACTAGTCTCTAGGGAAGATTCTGGAAAGTTTATCTAAGGTCAGAGGAGGAAGCATTTGATCTAGCCAGGGGTAAGCAGCTAGGTCTTGTTCTCTAGGCAAAGATGTCTATTGAGAGGGCTTGGGATGTAGCTCAGTTGGCAGAGTGCCTGCCTAGCATACATGAAGCCCTGGGTTCCAACATCAGCACCAAATAAGCATAAAGTGATCTCAGCGGTGTCCCCCTACAATCCCAGCACTCAGGCGTCTGTGGGAGGGTTGGAAGTTCAAGGTCATCCTTTTCTACCTCTGCTACCTAGAGAGTTCCAGGAGGCCAGTCTGGGATGCATACCACTCAAAAGGAAGAGGGGGGTCAATCTGGAGACTACAGCCATGACCTAAAGCTGAACCAAGGTAGCCAGGAAGTTGGAAAACAGTGGGGCGATTTAGGAATCAAATTTGTCAACCTCGGTGAATGCCTGCATGCTTAGGGCAAGATGAGCAAGAACTTGAAGAAAACCCAGGCTCCACCTTAGAACGCTGGGGAAGAGGAATGAAGCTGTAAGAGTCTGAGCTGACTGGTTTTCTTGGGGGGGTGGATAATGAGCCTGGAGTTGAGAGCTGAAGGCCCAGCTTCCTGCTTCCTGTTAACAAACTGCTCACAAAGGAGAAAGTGCATGACTCCTTCATTCAGCAGTCCTCAGAGTACAACCATGTGTTCGGCAGGTATTCAATGAGCAACTGGAGATACCGCAGCAGATAAAACAGGGGTCCCCATCCATCTCAAATGCATGATGCCTGGAGAAAACTGGTAATACTAAAGCCTATTAAGTAATAAGTATTAAGTCCCAAGACTTGAGCTCACTTCTTTAGATGATCTAATTAGAGCCTCATTACTCTAGGAATTGGCTTCTATTAATATCCCCATTTTATAGAAAAGGAAATGGGCAAAGTGAGGTCACTTGCCAAGCTACCAACCAGCAGAGTTAAATTAGAAAATGTAGTGTTAAAGTTATCTCCCATCTGCCCCATCCCCCCACCCCTCACCCACTGCCCCTTTCCAAGACATTTTACTGTGAAGGCAGTCTGGCCTTGAATTTAAGGTACTCCTACCTCAGCCTTCCAATACAGGATTACAGGCATGGACCATCATGCCCAACTTTTGAAACCTACTTTCTTAACCTCTGAGGAAGTCTGAAGGTCACGCCAAGCACGGTGGACTTCGTGGTGGTATGTGCCTGCAATTCCGGACTCTCAACTTAGGGCCGGAGGAATGCTGGATGCCAGAAACTCAAGGCCAGCCTGGGAAACACAGAAAGACCAAGTCTTAAAAACCAAACCGACGGTGACAATTAAATGAGGGTGGCCTTTAGAAGACAGCAACCGGAGCTGAAAACGACTTGGTTCCTGTCAAGGGTTCAAGTCCTCACTGTTGGCATTGTACAGAAGCCACTTGGGCCTGTCCTCCTTCCCTTTAAGAACAAGCAGCTATTAAGCCAAGGATGATCTGCGGCAGAATGCTCATCTTGCTGGAGTTAGGCCCTGTATTCAACTCCCAGTACCAAAGACAAAAAACAAAAGTAAACAAAGCAGGTTTTGCTGAGCCTGGTGACTGGTGCCTATGACCCCAGCACTTATGAACAGGACTGAAGTGAGTTCAAGGCCTGGCTGGGCTACATAGTAAGTTCCAGACCAGACTGGGCAACACTGAAACTCTGCACAGCAATTATCAAAAATACCTTTCCTTGAGTCCTGTTGGCAGCTACGCACAGCAAAGTCAGGCCAGGGTACAGGTGACCAGGTACTCCCTGTGCTCAGACCTGTGCACTGCTATGGTTTAGAGTCCTGCACGTGAAACCCACACAGCCATCTCCACCTCTCCCAGTCCTCTACGGGCATTCTTCCCCCCGCCGCCCCCCCCCCCCGCACTGGCCATTCCCAGCACATCATCTGCCAACGACTGCAGTTTGTGTTGGAAAAAAAAATTATTTTAAAGCTCCAAGGACATCAATAATTAACTTCCATACCACAAAACTTGTAATATGAGTTTGCTGAAATAAAGTCACCAGTATTTAATTCTTCTTTAAAGGGTGTCTTCTATTATTATTATTTTAGAGTGCAATTTAGTCATCAAAGGTTTACACAGCCTCATGTTTATAAATTATATAGGGCAGGGATTTAACTCTTCTGGCCCTACCTGTTTTGAAGAGAGGGAGGGTCATAACCTGTTGTCACACCCGGCACCTGCCTTGAAAGGAGGTGAGCTGGTTGGAACTTCACAGCTCTTTCAGAAATCTGGGATGAATATACAGATTTCCTTCTATGATGCAATCACAAGAATAACCCCAGAGTTACCTGCTGGCTTTTATCCTCCATAAAGCTGTTGGGAAACCATCTTTTTTCAGTTGAGATTCAGAGCCGTGCCTTGATTATATGACATAATAATAGTGACTTTCCAATTCATCCGCGAAATATTGTTTTTTCATTGTGGTGGTTACTTGGTGAGAGCCTCGGAGGGGGCAGGGCTACTGTCCTAGGTAAATAAAAACAAAAACAAAAAAAAAAACACGGGGTTGAAACCACCTAGAGACCAAGTTGTAAATTCCAACTCCTGACTTGGGTGTTTACATCCTAAAGGTGGTGGCTGCTGTCAGGCTTGGGCTCATCCAAGTTCATCAGGGGTTTGGGACTCCGGCTTTAAACTGGCTCACTTTCCAAGCAGGGCTCATGCCTAGCGTTCCACGTCAGTTTTTTGCCATCACAATGACGGTGGGGGGTGGGGAGTGGGAACAGGGGGGGGGTGGGGAGTAGGAACAGGTGTTCTTTTTGTTGTTCTTTTGTTTGAAAGAGTAAAGCTTTCAAGAGTTAAACTGGCCTAGTCCCGTGGAAGTGGGGTTGAACCCCTTGAGGTCACATGAGGGAGGGGCTCCATCTCCAGGTGAAGCTGCGCTCTTCCCCACCCCCTATCCTGAAAGCCCTCCCAGCCCTCTGCCAAAACTCAAAGAATGAAAAGTCGCTCCTCCAAGGCGCCCAGCTCGAATCTCCCTTTTACAGACTGGGCAGCCTCATTTCATTGGGACGAGATGCATTCCAAGAACGCGTCTGTGGTCGGCCAGAAGTGGAAAATTCAGGATGACAAATATTCCGAAGAAAACTAATATAGGTCCCAGGATTCCGGGACTCAAACAGGTGAAACGACAGAGGACGTGGCACAGAGTGTACAGGAGCGTCGCCCCCTTTCCTGAGTCCCTTTCTTCTGTCTCCAACCGAACCCCCGCCCTCCGCTGACTCTGCCTGGAGTGAGGGGATTCAACCTTGAGGGCAGCGGGAGCCCAGCTCTGAGCTCCCCAATCCAAAGTAAACACCTAGTCTACGTTAGCAACTGAACACCACACTCACGTTTTGAGGGTTTTTTTTTTTTTTTAAGTACTGTTTGTAGAGATGAGGGCGAAAACATTTCCCGGCTGGAAAATTACTGATCACGCACTAAGAAGGCAGTGGGGATGGGAAGAGGAGTTACAAGACTGAAATAAAGACCGATTGCCTTTTCTCCTCCCAGTGGGCAAGGGCCTGGGGTGCCACTTTTGGAGAACTAGGGTCCCATCGCAGTGCTCCGCTTCCCAGAACACGGTCACCTCCCAGCGAAGCCTCTTTGAGTAGGCTGGCCAGTTCGGAACCTAAACTGAAGGGAGCGAGTTGTCCTATGACCTTTACCTCGCTGCTTCACCTCTTTATGACTCACTTTTCTCATCTTCAAACTGAGAGTGCGAGTGTGTCGCTTGTAAAGAGCTTTGAGATCCCTGGTGAAAGGTATCTCCCCGCCTCAATTCCTCTCCGCTCTCCCCTTCGCGCAAGTCAATCTGGAACCTTTCCACTCCCTTCCTTGCTCCTTCCAGTATCAAAACCGTAACTACGTGCCCAATCCCGGCCTTTTTCCGCCGTCGCAGAAGCGACACACTCCCCGGAGCTACTGAGACTCCTAGCCCCCCATCACCCGGCCCTTACCCCCACCCTGCAGGTGGCCCCACGGGCACCCGCGCCGGGCTAGGCCCAGGGCCGACACAGCCCGGCCTCTGCGTGCGTATGCGAGGGAGGGCGGGCTGGATGAGTCACGCGGATAATCGCGCTCTTGGGTGCGCAGACGACTCGACGAGCGCAACCGCGAGCAAGAGTAGGGGCGCGCCGCCGCCTTCCCCCCGGAACCCCGTCCCTGCCAGGGTTCCCGCGGTGGGGCTTTCGAGTTCAGGGAGCCGACCGTGGCCGCGCAGATGATCATAAGTCGCGCGGCCACGGAAGCCACGCCGGAATCCCAGCGCCGGAGCAGCCGTCGCCGCC